AAAAGAAGTCATTGCTGGTTAGTCAGCTCTCAGCTCTGGCTGCTGCAGGGATGCTGGCAGGGGACTGGTGTGGGTGGCCTCTTCAAGTGGGCAAATTGAAGAGATCCATCTCCAGCCCTAGGGGATTAGGAGCTGGAACTGAAAGAGGCCAGGACCTGGAGACCTCAGACCCACCCCCTGGCAGGGTCTGTTGTATGAGACCAGAGACCAGAACAGGTGGCCTGTGCTGGGAAGAGAAGTGCCACAGCTGCCCTCCCTCCTGGTCACCTAGTAGCTTTCTCCCATGCTGGGCATCACCATTGGGGTGGCCAGCAGGAATGGGTTGTCCCTGGTGTGTGCTCAGGGCACTGGTACAGGAGGAATCCAAGGTTACCTGGTTCACGGAAGCTGCTATGCAGCTCCTATTGTGGGGCTCTGCCTTGCTTCTATTAGGCATAGCTGATAGGGCTGGGGGGTTCTCTCAAGACCTACCTGTTCCCTACCCCCCTTTCTGCACTGACATTGTGTCTACAGGCTCTGCTTCCTGATTTGGGAGCTGGTGTCCACAGCCTTCCCTGGATCTATTCCTACATTCCTCATCCCTGTCTGAAGGCAGCTGCCCCTCATGGCTGGATGAGCAAAGACCAGACAGAGCGGGAAGCCAGATCTGGTTGGAATGCTAATCCCCAGACCCTGACAAGACCTAGTATCAGCACAGGAGCAGCGGAGCAGTTTTAGCCTCTCCCTCCCTCTCCAGGTGATGGGTGGAACTGCAGGGGAGGCTGCGGCCCTGCCAGCCAAGGTCAGGGTCATACTGGGTTAAGCTGTTCATCCCCTCCACCTTCGCAGACTTGCTTTCCTTGTAATTACCCAGCGTGGCTGTGTCGACCCAGGACTTAACGGCAGCAGGCCTTTACAGGAGTGACTCTTTCGCTAATTACCGTCGCTGTGTGCACAACTGTGTGCACCCTGCTGCTCCCATACTCTGCTCTCTATAGACTGGTTCTCAGCTTCCCCTTGCAGGGCCTCAGCCACCTTCTTTTGGTCATTAATACCATACATGCAATCCCTGACCTTTTGTTCCTCGATGAGGGGAATGGGAGTGGGGATTATTTATCGGGAAGTGGCTTGCCTGCATGCCCTACAGGGCAGATAATCCAGGCTGGGAGAAGTGGGGGTGAGGTTGGCTTAACCCATTGCTGACAACAAGCTGGTGGCATTCTGGGTGGTAGAAAGAGGAGCTGAAAGAAGATGCTGATGTGTTCCCTCTCTGTCCCTGCCACACCCCCACTCTCACTGCCACCCCATCTCTGGCCCCCAGGGTCCTGATTGGTCCCAGCCTCCACATCTTTCCTCCTTCAAGTGTGGCGTGGGTACGGCAGCATGGCCATGATCTGGGAACTGGCTTCACTTATAGGTCACAATTTGTTTTGTTTGTTTTTGAGACAAAGTCTCACTATGTTGCTGGTAGAGTGCTGTGCTGTCACAGCTCACAGCAATCCCAAACTCTCGGGCTTAATGATTCTCTGGTCTCAGCTTCCCAAGTAGCTGGGACAGGTGCCCGTCACAACACCTGGCTATTTTTTTTGTTGTTGTTTTTAGCAGGCCTGCCTGGGTTTGGACCTGCCAGCCCTGTTGTATGTGGCTGGTGCCCTAACACTGAGCTACAGGCACTGAGCCCTAGGTCACAATTTGCATGTCAATAAGACACTCCCCTGGTGGAGTTTAAGCAGCCTGGGCCATTGTGTCACCATCTTGCCCAGAACCCTTGATACCTTGCTCCCGCTATCTACAGAATGAGGCACAAGCTCTTCATCCTTGCAGTCAAGATTCACCCCAAACTGGCCTGCTCCCCTCACTGCAAGTCACTCAGCCATTCTCCAAACCTTGAACCCAGTTCCTTAATGTTAACCTGTTCCTGCTGCCTGACGTGCCCATCCTGCCTGCTGGCTGAAACCCTACCTGGTTTGCAGAGCCAGGGCAGATGACATCTCCTCCCCACCCACTTTCCTTCTTCTGAATATCTCAATGGGGGCCTGATCCTTGCTTGGCCAAGACACCAAGTAACCTCATCTTCCTCTGGAGTCACATGGTACTTTTTTTTTTTCATGATCCTCATGTACCTCACTTATCTGTGAACCCTACAGTGTCAGAAGAGCTCCTAGCCAGTGTCTCTAAGTGTGGAGGATCACCCCCATCCCTCAGTATAATCTGGAAGAATCTGGAATTTTTTCTTTCTTTTTGAGAGCCTCACTTTATTACCCCAGGCTAGAGGTGCTGTGGTATCAGGTGAGCTCACTGCAGCTTTAAACTACTGTGCTCAAGTGGTCCTCCTGCCTCAGCCATGTAAGAGCAGCCGGGACTACATGCATGAACCACTGCACCCAGCCAGAATCTGGAATATTTTAGGTTCCAAACCCTTTCCTTAGGACTGCTAGATCTAAACTGGGTGGTGCCAGAATCTTGCACTTTAAGGTAACTTTTCAGGGGGTTCTTATGAGGTAACTCTGATACATGGAGACAAGCAGTGACCACCCTAGACTAAGATGCTCTTGTGTCCTGGGTCCTGCCTGTTAGGGTTGCTGCAAGGACCCCATGAAATAGCAAATGCACCTCAGTGTTAGCAGTCTTTTGCATAAAGAACCACTATGAGCAAACATTCCAAAAGGACAATGTTCAAGGTCATGGGCTTTATAGTAGTGAAAAACTAAATCATCTGATTAACAGTGTAATGAATTATAACGCTTACCCTAAGGATCACCTAGTTATTAAAAAAGTGACAAGTGACCACATACTTGCTCCTAGTGAAAGGATGAGTGTTGCAGTTCCTCTCCTAAGGTGGTTCCCAAAGAACCAGGTATCAAAGCCCATGGATGGTTCCTGCCCACAATGCAGGACTTGCCTTGTGACTTGCTTTAACCAACAGAATGTGGCACGAGGGATGCAGTACTAGTTCCAACCCTGCCTTAAAGCCTGGCAACCTCTGCTTTTACACTTTGGGAACTCTGAGCCATCAAGGAACCTGTCCACTTTGCTGTAGAGGCCCCACACCATGGAAAGCAGCCCAGCTATCTGGGCATCTCCTGAACACCAGCTACCATCCTGGGTATTCCAGCCCAGCCCAGCCCCAGCTGATGGCACATGGTGAGCAGAACCACCCAGCACAGCCTTGTCAGTCCAGACTTAGGGGATGGGTTGAAAGCAACTAAACTGGGGGGTATGTGGGGCTGTTACATACTAACAGTTAACCAGAAGAGCAGGCTACATTATTTCAACTAGTGAAATATGCCAGGACAAAATACAGTGATTACTTTCTTGCTTTATTTTTTAGCTTTTGCACAACGAATATTTATTACTAAGAAAACAGTAATTCCATCCTTTATGACAGAATCTAATGTTTTAGTTAAAAAAAGGCTGTTGCCAACAAACAAGCACCTATCCACTGGGCATTATTCCCCTCCTTTCCATTTCCATCCTACAAAGGAAGGTCATCACTTGCTGGAAAGTTCCTTCTTAGGTATAGAGACCTCCGTTTCTACTGCAGAGCCCACAGCTTCTGGGGAACAGACTACCCCCAACACCAAAGGGTATCAAATCTCTAATGCCCCACTCCTCAATCCAACAAAGTCCTTTCTCCAGGTCACTGAAGAAAACTTGAAACCACCTTTTCATGACACATAGCATGGCATTGATGCAGCAAACTGAGCCTTGGTTTTGTGCACCACTCTTGTCTTCCTCTCTGTTACTGAACATCAGGGATCAGTCAGAGGGTGAAATTCAGAGGTCAACCAAGGCAGCTCAATGCATAAGATGGTGTGTTTGCTTAGCCAGAAAATACAACACGAGATTAGGGACTGAAAATGGCTCTGGGCTCAGTGATTAGAGCACCGGCCACATGCACTAGGGCTGGTGGGTTCAAACCCAGCCCAGGCCTGCTAAACAAAAAAATAGCCAGGTGTTGTGATGGGTGCCTGTAGTCCCAACTACTCAGGAGGCGGAGGCAAGAGAATCACTTGAGCCCAAGAGTTAGAGGTTGCTGTGAGTTATGATGCCAGAGCACTCTACTGAGAGCGCAGCATAATAAGATTCTGTCTCAAAAGAAGAAAAGAAAATGGCTCTGGGCATTAGCCACTGAACTATTACACCATGAGGTTGAATGACCCCACGAATGACTCAGGAGTTGACCCTTCTTCCAGTTTATACACCTGAGTGATGGAACGGAGCAGAAAGAAGGGTTGGGAGCAGCAGGTACTGAGAAACTGAATATTTTGTCCTGGTTGAGAAATAAACATTTTAGATTTCTTTGAAGCTACTGAAAAGACAATCATGCTTCAGTCTAATAGTTAAACACTAATTCTGATTTTTTTCCTTTTGAGACAGAGTCTCACTTTGTTGCCCCTGGTAGAATGCTCTAGTGTCATACTCACAGCAACCTCAAACTTTTGGGCTCAAATGATTCTCTTGCCTCAGCCTCCAGGGTAGCTGGGACTCCACAATGCCCACCACAATGCCCAGTTATTTTTAGAGATGGAGGTCTTGCTCTAGCTCAGGCTGGTCTCGAACTCATGAGCTTAGGCAATCCGACCACCTCAGCCTCCCAATGTGCTGGGATTACAAGCGTGAGCCACCATGCCTATCCTACTAATTCTGATTTGTAATGAAAAGAGGTGACACTGACTAGCGGCGCCCATAGCTCAGTGGATAGAGCACAGGCCACATACACTGAGGCTGGTGGGTTTGAACCTGGCCCAGTCCAGCTAAAACAATGACAACTGCAACAAAATAAAAATCTGGGTGTTGTGGCAGGTGCCTGTAGTCCCAGCTATTTGGGAGGTTTGAGGCAAGAGAATTGCATAAACCCAAGAGTTTGAGGTTGCTATGAGCTGTGACACCACAGCATTCCACCCATGGTGACAGCTTGAGACTC